AAGTATTTTATTTTCTTTCCCAGTCCCCAGAGTGAAGCTGGCTCTGTCTCTCTTATCAAATCTTCTTTCCTTGGCTGTCAACTGCTGCTGCTTCTGCTCCAAGAAACTCCAAAGGCTACTTGGAGTCAATCCATTTAAAACAAGACCAAACTTTTATAGTAAGTAAGTAGTGGAAAACAGCTTTAATGGAAATTCATCTTTAAAAATTAAAGTTTATAAAGATACTCTTATTGTATTTTATATTTAACAAAACTAGTTATAATTATAGCAACTATGAAATCATAGAAAATGAACAAAGAATAAATCAAGTTTTGTTTTCATGTGTAATTTTTCCAACAGTTGGAATTATATGATAGTTGTATTAATTTTCTATTTATGTGTCACAAATTATGACAAACTTAACTGCTTAAAACAGTATCCACTTATTAGCTCATAGGTCTGTAGGCCAGAAGTCCTACCCTGTGGGTGTGGCTGGATTTTAAGCTCAAGGTACCATAAAGTCAAAACCAAGGTGTCAGCTATGCAGGGCTCTTTTCTGGAGTGTCTGGGTAAGAATTTGGTTCTAAGCCCAGTCAGGTTGTTGGCAGAATACAGTTTCTTGTGGTTTTAGGTGTGAGGCTCTGTTTTCTTACTGTCAGCCTACCACCTAAGATTCTAGAAGCCACCACATTTTTTTGTCATATGGCCCCTTCCATCTTCATATAGCAACAGAGAACAAATCCTTGTTGTACTTTGAATTTCTTTGATTTCCCTTTGTACTACAGCCAGAGAACACTCTCTGCTTGTAAAGAGCCTGTGTGATTAGAGTAGATCATTGAGACCTAATCCTCAGATGGACAAACTCCCTTTTGGCACGGAATAACATAATCATGGGAGTGATCTCATCATGTTCACAGATTCCTTCCATGCTCAGAGGTGAGGGCATTTTATAAAGGCAGAGGTCATTGGGGATCATTCTTAGAATCTTGCCTACCATAGTAACACAATATGAAACTGTATGTAATTTTTAACACATGCTGTAAAACCATCATAACAGTCAAATCGATGGCACTGCCATTCTTCCTAAAGATGAATATTTTAATCTTGGGATAGTAAAATTATTGATCTCTGAAGTACCTATCAGGTCATCTTCTTTGTTCATTTTCACTTATTTCGGTCGCTGGCAAGCTGACTCTCAAGATCTTTTGTTACTGGCTTTGTCAGTGACTTCAGTATTTCTACATATCTTTTAATTTCCAGGAAACCCTGTGTCTTTTGGAAGACTTGCAATTTAATTTCATAATAGATTTGTCCTTGCTTTGTTGCACTCTGTATAATATCCTCCAGTCAATCAGAGACCAGTGGGTAAAGATGTTTGGGGCTGTAGTGTGAAGCACAGATGGGTGAAAGTTGCTCCAGGTCACACAGCTACTCAGTGGAGCAGCTGGGATTGGAACTCCATCTGGTTCTCAAAAAGTTCTCAGAAAGTTATCCACTCTTATTTTTAATAATTGTCTATTATTTAACAATTTTAAAATAATTTAATAATATTTACATTAATATTTAGCTTTATTAACATACTTTAATTTAATAATTTAATAATATTTAATAATTGCCTATTAATAGCCATTTATTAATAGTCATTCATTCTCTACACTCTGTTTAGAACAATTAACCTCACTTTTTCTTTCTGATAAACCTTGATGCATTTTCCTAGGACCAGCTCAAATTCCTCTTTCCTTGAAAAATCTTGTCTGACACACTCTGTGCCACTTTCTATCACACTCCAGCACAAATGATGCCTTTCTCCAGGCTGCTCCTGTAGCCCATGGCCCAGACATCTCTTACAGTCCTTAGCAGACTGTGTCCAACTGATTAATTTATGTTAAAAGCTCTCCAGCTAAAATATAAGCATTATGTAAAAGGAAGTATTTCTTAATTATTTTATACTATAGGTGTTTAGCTTACTTATTAGCAGACAGTACACATTAAATCAATGTTAATAAAGTCCAGAGAAACAGTGTAGGTTTACGGTAAATCAGTGGTTCTCAACTAGAAGTGATTTTGCAATGCCTTCAGCTTCCTGAAAACTTTTGGCAAAGTTTGCAGACATTTTGGTTGTCTTAACTCTGGGGGAAAGAATGCTACTGGATCTATGCATAAAGGATCAGGGGTGCTGCCAAATATCCTGCAATGCATAGGATAGTCCCACACCCACAACAAAAATGTCATCTAGCCCAAAATGTCAGTAGTGTTAAGGCTGAGAAAGTCTGTACACAATATTGAGAGGGAGTCAGACCTTAGATAGAAAAAGTAGGAAGATAAGTCAGAATTATAAGATTTCTTACATCTCTTTAATCACAAAATTCAAGGAAGCTATGAACATATTGAAAAACTGAGAAGATTCCAGGTTGGGATCAAACGGTACTGTTCATACACTCACCACTCAGGTTGCCCTAATGACATATTGTTACAGTGGCATAATGACAAGGAAAGTATACAGTAATTACAGGTGCTGTCTATTTGCTCTAGTTAGTCTCACTGGAGAGAAAAGGAGTTTGAAAGAAATTTGTACCTCAGACCAAAAGATTATGAAAGAGAACTGGAATATAACTTATCTTTAAAAAGGCTAAAGGAAATGTGTGTGTGTGTGTGTGTGTGTGTGTGTGTGTGTGTGTGTGTGTGTGTGTGAGGGAGAGAAGCTATATGGGACCAACATGTATTTTCTGCTGATTCTGGACAAGCTAACATAAGGAGTGGTTCTCAGCATGTGGTCCCTAGCTCTGAAGCATTAGCATTGTACGAAAACTTACAAGAAATTCTCATGTCCCATTCCAGACCTACTGAATCAGAAACTCTGGGGATGAAGTCAAGCAACACATACACACACATATATATATATATTTCTTTTCAAGCAACATATATTTTGACAAGCCATGACATATGGGTGATTCTGATACATATAAGTAGGTAATAAATAATATATTTGCTTATCAATTTTTCTCACCCGTTCCACTAAAACTAATGTCAACATCAAGGCCTGGAAGGAGCCCTAGCCTCCTGTGTAGGATGACTTGGGTTTGAAGCAATCTGTCAAGCAGTCTAGGAATAGACTGTTTTCCCTATGGATTTCATTGCTCTGTAGTGCAATAACACTTTACCAAGACCTCTGTTGTCTTCTGCATATACTAATCCACTTAATTCAGCAATGCTAGTACAATAGACATCATCAATCCACTTTTAAAAAGAAGACTTTTATTTATTTGTCAAAAAAAGAGAGAGAGAGCACAGCAGGGGAAGTGGCAGGCAGAGGGAGAAGCAGACTCCCCTGTTGAGCAAGGAGCCTGATTCAGAACTCTATCCCAGGACCCTGGGATCATGACCTGAGCTGGAGGCAGATGCTTAACTGACTAAGCCACCCAGGTGTACCCATCAATTCATTGTTAAAAGTGGGGAAACAGCCAAAAGAAATGAACTTGGCTGAGGTGATATGACTAGTAATTGTTGAGATAGGAATAGAATCAAGATCTAGATAGCCAGGAAACTTTGTATGATGCAATAGTAGATTTCTGATGACTAAGACTTTGGGCAACCTAGCCATTTCTTTATTAGGAAATGATCAATTCCTTTAAATAGATTTAAATAGATTGCTAGTGTCCTTTATTTTAGTACAAAAACCACAGACCCTACTGCCTTAGTGTATGCTGCAACACAGGTTCTGATTCTTATATTATGTTTTGTTAGGAATTATATATTACATAAAGCTTTGTATGAAGGTTGAGTCTACTCCTTAAGTCAGTTTTTATTTAGAGTATTGGCAATAATGCATGAGAGAATGAAGTTGTTGTTTTTCAGACTATTAGAGAAAAGTACTGGGATCAATTTAACCCTGGAAGTGCCTGCCTCCTAATGTTTTATAGTCTTGACAGAAGCACAATGAGTACATTTCAAACATGTTCTGAACATTTTTTTTCACAAAATTTCTTCTTTTTAGTGCTAAAAGTGATTTCTTTCAGAACCCTACCCAATCTTGATTTCCAAGAGAGTCAAATTTTTATAGAAATAGAGGGACTCCAAGTGCCTGATACAGTGAGAATGAAAGAAACTTGGAAGAAGATTCTCTTGCAAAAGACATATGGAAAAGAGACCCTAGAATATCATACAGATGATGGAGGAATTTATGGTAAGTCTTTGGGTCACAACCCACTGGAAAGAGATAAAGGGTTACCATATGGTGGAAGAAAAGAGTAAGCAAAGATTTTTGAAGAAGATTTCATTCTTCTAGGAGAATATCAAGAATTAAAAAAAAAAATGCAATGGAGAGGAGTCAACAAATTCAAACTGCTTTTTCTTACCTGCTGGAAAAATTCCAGAGTAAATGTGCCAGGAGTAAAACATGCTTTTGTTGAAGTGTATTCTACAGGTTATTTTTTTCTAAAGAGTTACATAGAAATGGATAAAGAAAATATGATATTTATATATGAAATGGAATATTACTCAGCCATGAAAAAGAAGGAAATCTTGCCATTTAGAACTATGGATAGACCACGAGGGCATTATGCTAAGTAGAATAAGTCAGAGAAAGATAAAGGTTGTGTGAACTCACTTACACGTAGAATTCAAAAAGAAGCCAGACTCATAAATACCATAGGACGGACTGGGGTTGCCAGAGGGGCAAAATGGATAAAGCGGGTCAAAAGAAACAAACTTTTAGTTATAAAATAACTAAGTCCTGGGGATGTCACATAAGTATGGTGACTATAGTTAATAATACTGTATTGCATATTGTAGTTTCTAAGAGAAAAGATCTTGAGACTAGTATGACACTATATGTTAACTACATTGCAATTAAAATAAAATAAAAAAAAATTCTCCTCCCAAGAAAAAAATCTGTAACTATGTGTGGTGATTGATGTTAACCAGATTTAGATATAGATTATCAAATCACTATCCTGTACACCTGAAATGAGTCTAATGTTACATGTTAATTATATCTCAATTTAAAAAAAGTTATCACATACCAGTTACTCGAAGTTTATCTGTACCAACCACAACTTCCTTTTCATCGACAGTAAACAGTGGCTTGCCATCCTTGGAGTTGATCTGAAACTGTTGACTCTGGACTTCTACCATTTTGGGACCTGAACAATTCATTAAAACAGATTATTATGAAATGTTTACTATATGTAGTATCTAATCTCTGTTTTTACATGTCATGTCACTCAGCAATACCAAATTACTAAATATATAAACTCTGTTATCAATAATTCTCTTAAATTCTGTGATTAAACTTTTTAAGTTATAAGCCTAAATCTGTATTATTAAAATTATGTCAAATATGTGCAAATCTACAAAGCATAATGCATAGACATGCTGAGTCACTATGTTGTACACCTGAAACAAATGTAACATTGTGTGTCAACTATACTCAAATAAAAAAATTTAAAAAACAAAACCAAAAAAAATGTGTTAATCTAGATGAAATATATGAATGGATAAGTCATCTAAAAGTTAATTTTTTCAAGTTTACAACTTGCCCAAAATAACATATTTCTTCTACCCAGATCATTTAAATTTGTAATCTTTCCAGTATTACCCAACGAAGGATGAGATTTGTGAAAGACCATTTTATGAATGGCTCACTTTAATGGCCAAAGTCAACCCAGAAGATGAATCACACTCAGATTCCCTCCTTTGCTTTTATCCTCAAGAGAGATCCTCACCTCTTACCCCCTAGAGAAAACAGACATCATCTTGGAAGAACATTTTCAAACTTCTCTCCTTTCCTTTCCCCTATGGCATTTTTTGTCTTCTTCACACTTTCCTTCTTTGTTTTTCAGTGACAGAAGCATCATTTTCCACTCCAAGTTTCATCTCATCAGATGAGTTTTAGACTCATTGCCTGCCAACTCATTTTTTACTCAGCAAAGGTTTAGTGGGTGTTCCCAGGTGCGGGGCATTGGGGATACTGTGCCCTCAAAAGCATACGTGACCTCGTTTGATTTCCCTTGCCTGCTCTCAGGCATTCACCATTTTGTTTCCTAATTCATCTTTGTGCTTCCAGTCTTTCTAATCCTGTCAGCATAATGGATTAATATCTCCAGAACTCAGTTCTCAGCATTCACTCAAGGAACTACAAGTGTTCTTTAATTCTTTTGTATGTTAGCTTTATAGTCTTACCTGGGAGAGTAAGTTTACTGAGAAAATGGATATCTTAGAGTCTTTGCATATGTGTCCCTTTATCACTCCCAGTACTCATTAAAGTTGATGGATACCTAACCAGAAGTTAAATAGAAGCTCTTCAATGAATACATTAACCAGTTTTGGATATGGTTACCAACATATCCTTACTTTATTTCATTGACTGGTATTGCAAAAGGCTTCAGTGATTTTTCATTTAAATATGTCTATCTGTGTGTGTGTATGTGTGTGTATGTGTGAGGCAGTTATAAGGTGGACTCATTTTTGCTCTATGTCTTAATCCTTCCCTTAAGGAAGCCAGACTTTATTTTATTTTTAAAGATTTTATTTATTTATTTAACAGACAGATTACAAGTAGGCAGAGAGGCAGGCAGAGAGAGAGAGGAGGAAGCAGGCTCCCTGCTGAGCAGAGAACCCAATGCGGGGCTCGATCTCAGGACCCTGGGATCATGACCTGAGCCGAAGGCAGAGGCTTTAACCCACTGAGACACCCAGATGCCCCTGGACTTCATTTTTTTTGATAGTTGCCTATATTTCTGCTCCTCTACACTTACACCAGTCTCAGTCACTAAGGAACTCAGCATCACCATTCACCTCTTTTGGGTCACTGCTATATCTTACATAGTCATCATATAAATATTGCTTTGTATTACATGATAATACAATTATCTTCAATACTAATATGGAGTTCTGGGCATTTAAAATTGACAGGGAGAAACAGCCTGGAATAATTTATCCAGTAAGACTTCATTGTTGAGCTTACTGGAGAGTCATAGAACAGTTCTAGGAGGCTTTATTAAGTAGAAGGGGTTCAACAACATGCCTGATACTTTTTCTGTAACCACTGGTTCATAAATGGTGATAAAACAGTCAATGACTTTAGGAGCATAATTTTCATGAGTAACAAAGACATACAAACTATACTCAAGGCAAAGAAAATGCAAAAATGTGACTCTTGATTTCAGGGTCATGAGTTTGAGCCCCATTTCAGATGTGGAGATTATCAAAAAAAAAAAAAAAAAGAAAAAGAAAATGCAAAAAAAAAAGTCTGTACTATTTAGCACAAATTTATGGCATGTTTTTTTATGTTCAAGTTTCTGTGCCAAGAATTGAGGATAGATAAGTGGCGTATAGCTCACAACTTATGGGAGTTCCTAGTCCACTGAAGAAAAAAGCATATGAACCTAGTTCCAGGACAGTTTGGGAAGTGCTATGATACAAGGAAGGCAGCGTTCAAGAGAACCCTGACAGGGAATCCCTGGTCTATCCTTAAGAGTCAGAATGGCACCCTGGGAAATGATGTCTGAACAACTACAGTGGCTGGAAAGACAGACCAGGAATGGTATGTTAGGAAGAAAACCCAGATCAATCCAGTTTCCAGTTACACCAAAAAAAAAAAAAAAAAAAGGAGAAAACCTTTATGATGAGGCATGAGAGCCAGAATGCCCAGTCTGAAAAATAGGTGTTCCCTCAGAGAGGAGTTGACATTACAAGATGCATGTTTGAAAAAGAAGAGATATTGAATGAATTCCTTCCCAAGGAAGTTTTCTGTTCTTGGGATAATACTAAATTTGATAAGTTTTCCAAATGCTACTAAATAAAAAAAAAATATTTGCTTATGTTTTAAAATCCCAAAGTACTACATTTTGGAAACTTCACAGTAAAAAACAAATTTAAATAGAAGTTTTTGAAGGAAAAGGCAATGTTTATTTGGGAGTATGTGCAGAGAGGTGAAGGGTGCCTGCAACATTACTGTGTCAGAGCTGTACAAAAGGATATAGTCGGAGATGTGGCAAAATCTCACGGAGCTGACCTTGTAAAGTTTCTGTTTCCCTGATGAAGGGAGAATGAGGCACATCAGGTAGAGGGAAATACTTAAACAAAGGCACACAGGTGAATAAAATTCCATCCTTGTTTTATTAAAAATAGACATTGAGGGTGGTAGTTTTGGCTTTCCACTCCTCTGTGAGCATGCTGGTCAGATTCTTGCTGTTCTTCAGAGAAGAGTGGTACACATCAGTGCATTGACCATCTTTGTCTTTGTCATTCACTTCCTCTTTCTCAGTTCTAGAATGTCTGCTCCAGAGATGCAATCTAACATTGAGTTCTCCATATTCTTCCACTCTTGCTTCTTCTTCTTCTTTTTTTTTTTAAAGACTTATTTATTTTAGAGAGAGAGCATCCGAGTGGCAGAGCGAGAGGGAGAAGGAGAAAAAATCTCAAGCAGACTCCTTGTTGGATGTGAAGCCCTATGTGGGGCTCAATTCATGACTCGGAGACCATGACCTGAACCCAAATCAAAAGTCAGCCAACTGAGCCAACAGGCACCCCTTTGTACTCTTGCTTCTATCAAAACCTCTGCAGGCTCACCCCAGAATTTCTTCTGCAACATCAGAAGATATAGTGCTCAGAAGAGCTGAATCAAAATTCTAGAAAATGTCATCACAGTCTTCTCTGCATGTTTCACACTGTGCCAGATCTTGGAGGGGTCTCGGCCAGAGGACATCGAACTGCTATCTGTGATAGCGTTGCTTACTACCATCATGACTTCTCTAGACTTTTTGTCAATTACAAAATTGTTGGGCTCAGTTTTAAGCAATGACGATGTGTTTATGCAGCAAACGGAAGACCCTTGGTTATTTCTCTTTGAAGGGTCTGCAGAAACCTCTGCACCAAAGGATCAAAGTTAAAGAGAAAAAGCCCATAAATTCCTGCCAGTCTAGAGATAAGGTCCCTAATCATCACCCTCATTTCAAACCTCTTCTCAGAGCATGCTGCGAGCTTACTAATTTACTTGCTGAACCTCGGGGAATCATGAATCAAGTGAACGGCTGAAAAGTCAAACACCTCAGCGTTCTGCTTTTGTCCCTTGAGTACACTCTTAACATTCACAGCCTGCTGCAATCCTGTGTTTGGAGCTTCTCTTTGCCGCAGCACATTGCACTAGGAAAAGGTCCTTCATCTTCAGATTCTGAGTCACTTTCCTCTTTCTCCTATTTCCCTAGGAAGTATTTCAAAACAGTAACATCCTGGTGACTTCAGAGAAACATGCAGCTGGGATAACGCTGGTATTTTTGGCCTCATTCTAATGTTTCTTCCGCCAAGTTCAATGATTACATCCAAAGATAGTTGGGTGGCAGGTGCAATGCTGGCCGTAATAAAGTGTACATGAAATTCTGCAATGGTCTAGTAACTTTCTTTTTATTTATATTCCTTATATTAGTCATGTCCTGAGTAAATATATTTTATATTCTTTATATTTTACATTTCTATTCCTTACATTAGTCATGTTCTGAATATATAAAGTCTTCTGCAGAAGCTTAATCATGGCAATGTAGAAATTCCAAGAGCCCTAACAAACTTGATGGATTGATGAGATTCTTATTTCTCTGCTTTGCTGTTTGAAGACCTCGATCTGAGACAGTGTGATTGTAGCAGAGGGTAACTTCCAGCACCCAGGAAAATGACTTTGCTGTCTGTGTGGCCTTGACCAAAGGATGCCATAAACATTACCAGCTTCCCCACTGGGTTTATTTGGTTGTAATCTGAAATCTGTAATTTGGTTGGATTGATAGTGACTACAATGGTATGGAAAGCCCTCAAGTTAGAGGCCAGGGGTCCTGCTTGATCAAGTTCTGTACCTACTGCCAGTGGCTGGAAAGCTGGGGCTTTGGCAGGACACACTGGCTGTGGCCTGGCTACATTCTCAAAAAACCCAGCTGCTAAACCGGACCAGCCCATCTGAGTGCAGCTTGCCAATTTCCAGGCATGTCTTATTTTTAAGCTAACCAGAATTCATTTCCATTACTTGAAACCAAAAGAAAATTAACCAGAGTTGCACTTACAATTAGGAAGATTCTATTACTGTTGCTATGCATTGATATCTTTCAGTTCAAGGATTTGAAATGCTAGCTATTATTATTTGCTTGTCAATGTTTGATTTCTTTTGGGATTTAAGAATTTTGGTTTTGACTATACTGGTTGCCATTATTTTTTCCAGTGGTTTAGTAATAAACAACTGTTCATTTAATTAAGTGGGATTAATTTGGCTAGTTCACATAAATTATATTTTAATATCCAGGTTGGCTAAATTTAGTGTCTTCCAGGAAATATGAGGCTGGAATGACTGTGATTGTGGGAAGTCATTTACTTGAAATAACCTTGGTGAGTTGAAAGTCATTTTCCCTGGTTCAGAGTCCTTACTATAACAGAGGTTTTCCAAACAAAGTTTATTAAGAAATCACTAATTTTAACACTATATAATGCAGGAAACACCAAGGTTAAAACTGAAGATTTAAGGTTAACAGTTTAAGCCAAAGTAATTCTAATGGGGAAGTCTTTCATTTTTTCGTTTTTTTTTTTTTTTAGTACATTTTTTGGTGACAAAAATGATAACAATATTTGCATGAACTAGGACGGTTACTGGTGTGCCATAATTTAAGGAAATCTGATTGGAGAGAGGGAGTGCTATATTCTGGGCTGAGGGAGATAAGTCCTGGGGTTTGCTTTTCCTGCTAACTACTAATTCTTGCTAACTGCTAATTTCTGCTACCTCCTGGTTTGGCTTTTTCTGCTGTAAAGCTGTGTGTTTTTGAGCAAATGAGCTTTCCAGTGCTTCAGTTTTTTCACTCATGCAATTGGAGACAATTTATGTCAAATGCTGGTGTATGAATATACGAAAATCTACATTCAACAAAAAAATTAATTGAGGACATTATTTGTATTAAATTATTTTTATAAGAATATAAAGGGAATCTTTTACTTTTGGAGCTCCTAAGAGAGATGTGTATATTATTTATATGTATTACTTACTTGACAGCACCTAGAAAGTAGCATATAGGCATCCAATAAATGTGGAACAAACGACAAAAGAGCAAAAATCCCTCAAACACTCAAAAGCTATAGTCAAAGAATTTTATGAAATAATGGTAAAAGATAAATCGTAACATTACATAATTCTTAAGGAAATGTGATTTGATTTAGACAAGTTGCAAGAACATGTATGCTGGATAAACTCAGATTTGTCTTCTATGTCTACTGAGAATTTCACTGACTTAGTGATCAAACTTCTAAGCAAAAGAGAAGCATGATACATCATTTAGAATAGTTATAAAGATTAAAGAAGAACATAAAATACGGAATTCATATGTTAGTATGATGAAAAAGAATCACCAGGCTAATTATGTAGCTGCAGTTTCCAGTGTAACCTTATGCTGTTTTGTAAAAACAGCCATCAAAAAAGAGACACTGGAAATTACCAGTCTGTATTGACTGGATACTTTTCATCTGTCTTCTCATAACCCAAAGGGCCACCCGATTTTTTAGATTTGGCATATCTATAGACTGGTGAGATAGTATAGAGAATATGTACATATTCCTTTCACTGGGTGGTTTGCTCTTTTGTCATTTCTTCCATCTATCTCTCTAATCCTTTTTATTACTGTGTGAGATTCCCTGTGATCTCACTCCTGGGTGAGCCTACTGTCTGGTTTTAGCTGGTTGGATGGGTGTACATTGCTGACTGAAGGACAGTTAGAAACACATTAGTTGGGCCAATTAGTGTACTTTGTTATGAATTTAGAATTTGTGCAATTGAAAACTAAGCTTGTCGGTTGGCATTGTGAACTATAGCCAATCACATGAAAAGCCAGAGAGGTCCTGTGGGTGAAGTGAGAACAATGGGCAAAGATACACTGGACAAGAGGGGTATGTAGGAGAGGAGAAAGGGAGGGAGAAGAAGGGAGTGGGGGAAGGAAGGGGAGAGAGAGGGAGAAAGAGAGAGAGAGTCTTTTGGTTCTCACCCCATGGTGTCTGTTCTTTTTTTCTTTTTAAAGATTTTATTTATTTATTTATTTATTTATTTAGGAGAGGGCAGGGGAGGGAGAGAAAGAAAACAAGCAGGGAGAGGGAGAAGGACAAGCAGATGCCTCACTGAGCACAGAGTTCTACTTGGGGCTCGATCTCACGACCTTGACATCATGACCTGAGCTGAAATCAAGAGTTGGATGCTTAACCCACTGAGTCACCCAGGCACCTCTCTGTTCTTTTGAGGGCAGCTACTTTTGTTCCTTTCCCTTGGTCTCAGATTCTTTTGCATTCTGCAATAATCAATACGTTTGTTTTATCACCTCGAATGGTCCTATTTCTTAGATTCAAAATAACTTTAATTACAATACTTCAGACTATCTTCCTCGTGATGCCAATTATTCTCTGTAGTCAACACAGCATGATATCTAGAAAATTCATGCTCTAATTATTCATAAATAACTTGGAATTCTTTAGAAGAGAAAAATGTATCCATTCAGCACAACTCTCCATGGGCCACTCACATGTCAAGCACTGTGAAGTCGGACTCACCCACTTTTAATCTGCCCGTGACCTCTCCTTCAGAGTTGCGTGCATTGACAGTCACATTCTGAGTTGACTGCAGAAGAAGAGATGAGTCCTAGAAAGGCATTTACAAAATTTGACAAACACATATTATTTAAAATGACTATCTTTATATTCATACATAAATTTAGGATTTATAGGAGATAATTTCTCCATAGTCACAGATCCTGTGACCCTAATACAGTATTTTCAGATCCTGGATTATATTATGTTAAAAGAGTAAATAAATGTACTTTCCCCCCAAAGTTTAAAACAACATATATTTATTACATCATAGTTTTTGTGGGTTAGGAGTCCAAGCAGAGCCCCAGTGGTTCCCTGTTCAGCATCTCAAGGGGACTGCAGGACTGAGGAATCACTCCAGGCTCAGGGTCTTCTTCTAAGCTCATGTGATTGGTGGCAAAAGTAATTTCCTTGCTGCTATAGAGGTTCTAACTTTTTTTTCATAAATTATAATACTCTTATGGGTTTCTGCTGCTTGTGTGCACTGACCATAATGTACCAAATTAGTTCTCAGGATGAAGATTGAAAATTACCAAGTTTTAATAAGTGTTTTTCCTATTCCAAGGAATTAAAATTTCCTTTCTTATTATTTATGTCCAAGACATGATATATTTTTAGAAGAGAACTCAGACAATGGTTAGTTCTTCTATAATAAATACCATGTTACTTATTTTCAAAATGTAAAGTCTTTTCACAATTTCAAAAATTTTTAAAATTTGTCAGATACCTATATTTTTTGAATTTTTTGTTGAAAGATAAAATGGCTTTATGTGCACATAAGTGCCTTGTGTGGTGTCATAGCTCTGAATAGGTGGTTTTGTTTTATAGATCATTTGTTTTTATAGGAACAGTTTTCTTCAAAAAGAATGCGACATTTTGACTGTTGGACTCAGGTGCCTTTATGGTCCATTCGGAGCGAACCAAATACCTTCCAAAGTTGCCGGGAATAATGTGATTTTTCAGAAGGAAAGAAGTTTCAGGCAGGAGTGCCTTGGAACTCTGGCATGTCCAAAATTTTCCAAATTGCTTTGTGGAAACAGATGGATCTATCAGAATCTCACATTTATCCAATGATGTGTCCTTAATCCTTGTTTTTGCAGTGTTCAAAAATAACTAGCATGATAATAAGAGTTAACAGTTTACCAGTTTCTTCCCTCTAGCCTCTATGTGCAGGGTGGTGAAGGGCAGCACCACGTGCAATCTCTGGGCTCTCTGCAATGGCAGCCCCTTCCTCCATGGTACTCCGCCCTGTGAACTTCAGGTTGGCTGCTTTTCCTTGGACTCCCAATCATATCTTCTGAACTTGGATAGAAAGCCTGCCTCTGCATTGGTCCCCTCCCTCACTGTGACCTTAGAAGCTGTCTCCACACAGTAAATTGGGGCAGTCCTAAGGCTGATCTATTTTGCTCCCTCTCAGAGATAACTGTCCTGACTGCCACTGTCCAATATTTGAAAACCATCCTACTCCATCTGGCACTATGACAAAATACCAGAGACTGGGTAGCTTATAAACAACAAAGATTTCTTTCTCACAGTTTTGGAGACTGGGAAGTCCAAGATCATGGTGCTGGCCAGATTTGGTGTCCCACAAGACTCACTTTCTTGTCCACACAGAAGGTGCCTTCCAGCTCACATGGCAGAAGGGGTGAGGGAGCTCTCTCTGCTGCTCTGATGAGGGCACTAACCCCATCATGAGGGCTCCGTTCTCATGACCTCATCTCCCTAAAGCCCCACCTCCTAGTACCATCACCTTAGGGGTTAGGTTTTAATGTGTGACTTCCAGACCATAGTAAAAAACATTGTTTCATATACTTTCTCAAGTTTTTTAGTTGCTTAATAAAAGCAGGTAAATCTGTACCCTACTATTTCTGACTTGTATTACCTGTTTTGGTTTTATAATTTCTTGTTCTTTTAATAAAAGCTACTCAAAACTAGCTTTATCTTAGTGAGATTCTTAAGTTGCTTTTCCAGCCATTTTCAGAATGATTATTTTTACTTAGTTGGAAGTTAATTCTCTTTTTTGTAGTTTATTTGGTATCCTTTTTCTTTTTCTTTTTTTTTTTTTAAAGATTTTATTCATCCATTTGACAGACAGAGATCACAAGTAGGCAGAGAGGCAGGCAGAGAGAGAAAGGGAAGCAAGCTCCCCGCTGAGCAGAGAGCCCAACACGGGGCTCGATCTCAGGACCCTGAGACCATGACCTGAGCCGAAGGCAGAGGCTTTAACCCATTGAGCCACCCAGGCGCCCCAATTTGGTATCCTTTTTTTAGATGGAGTTTTCCTTATGTGGTTGCAAGTTTCAGTCTCAAGCACCTGCGTGGATATATTTTAGTTTCTGGATTCACCCAGCTTGTTTTCATTCAGACCACCATGTTTCCCAGGCTTGTAATGGTAGCTCAGGGCTTGTGTCCTCAGCGATATTCGGGTCTTGATCTAGTATGTCTATGGGTTCCATCCCACAGATACACAGCTTTTTCAAGCCTGGGCAATAGGTGCAACTCTTTTCTGTTGCTGTTTCATGCAGTGGGTCTGGCTGGAGTCCAAGCAGTCTCATCAGGTGCCATTTTGGTCTCTATTCCTCTGTGGGCTTTGATAGTAAGCTGCCCTGCCACTTTCCAGGACTGTAAACTTCAAAGACAATCATTTCAAGTAAAGCTTTACCGCTGTGTGTTTTGGCTTCATTTAATTTTTGACTATGTCTATATGTTTCTAACCACAATCTTTTTGTTTTATGAAATATAATTGCTATGTGTTTATGTCAATGGGCAGGGTGGATGGTTTTAAATCATGAGCTCCAGGCACAATCTTGACAGGACTTCATGTATTAATTGTGAAGAGTAATCACATGTTAGAAGCCAGAGTACCATGTTGAATTATATTTATAATAAAGACATTCTCTCACTTCAGCAATAGAGACGAATGAATATGTGTCAAATTTTGCAAATTCATTTCTGTAGTTTTATGGAAAATTACTTCCTAGACTCATTTTTGAAAAGGAAACATAACTAATGCATCAGTACATACAGAAAATATAAAGCATAATTTTGTTGTTAATCCTATCATTAGAAAGCCATAGTAGTTACCAGATACTTTCTATCTCTGTGATCACATTATTCCAAATATTTCTGTAATTTTATGTATCAACTGACATATTGCATCAATGCATCATTATAAGACTTCAATACATGATTACCTAAAATAATTTATACAATTTTGTTTTTTTTTTTTAAAGTATACTGGAGATGAAAAAAATCTGATAAAACTGAAAGTATTATTAAATCCAAATATTAAATTTGCTATGAAGTAATCTTTCATTCACCAGGATATTCTACCAGTCTTATCTCTTCAAAAATATGATAGGGGATCAGCCAACATAACTCTGGGGAGAAAATGGCTATGTTCTAACATTTAAATTCTTTGCTCACATCTGAATCTCCTTTTACAAAAGCTTAGGTTCATTCCTCATGTTCCTATATGATGGGTATTTAATATACTGAAATGTCATCACGGTTTATGTAAGCATATTATCTGAGGAAGCTCATAGAATCGGGCTTATGCATGTATCAGCCTGTCACACTCTGGGTCATTTGCCTGCTTCTTACCATCAACTGAGACATTCTCAGAAGTAATGCAGTAGTGCCCAAGAGCTACTAAGAGGTATGTGCTTTGCACTTTCTAGAATCTCTCCTTGGTAGTCCATGTTTGGTAGTAGAGCTTGGTAACTGTTTAGGTGCCTGTGTGGGGCTATGGTTTATCTTGAAGACCACATGTGTTCTCAGTGGTTGGACTTTTGTATCTTTTCCAAACACCCTAGATTAGCTAGAAGAACCTCTGCTTATAGAAGATACTAACATATCCTTTCATATGTAGAAATATGAGAGGAAAATGAAGAGTGAACTCTTCATATAATTGGTAAGTTATAGTTGGATGGAGTTTAACATTTATGATGCCACTTAATCAGTAATTGAGCAAAATGTTTACTTTTACTACAAAGTCCATAGCATCATTTAAAGCAAAATAAAACATATTTAAAAAACTGACTATATTTTATGCTTGGCTCTACTTGTTATAAATTCCATGGAGGTAAATGAAGATAATACTAAAGCAGATATATTTATAAAGTCACACAATTATTTAATGGGAATGTTTAACCTACTTACAGAGAATCCTACAGGACTATAATCTGTAATTAGCAGAATTAGTACAGAACATGAAACTAATTTCTTTCCAAGCTTCTCAGATAATTTTAAATGCCTTGAAAAGAATATTTAAATTACCTGCACTAAAATAAGTTTAGATTATTTTCAATAAAGCTTTTAATTATCAAGCCTTTTTTATTATGGTCTAACTTACTGAGGCCACCAAATTCAGATCTGAAGCACATGAAAATGGAGTCTTTTTAGAATGCAGTTTCAGAAATATGTTTTACAACTTCTAGTCAAGCTTTTTGTAGAGTGTAACATCAATGTGTGTACATGTATATATCCTAAGAACCTCTTCTGAAATATGCTGAATTTCTGTGCTCAATGATTATTTATTTTTCATAAAACACAAAATATTTAAATGTTTAAATGTTTCATCATTTTCTTACCACTCTGGAGTGTATTTCCTTGGCATACAACGGGAATAAAAATTCTGATTCTCCTTCTAGGCGAAGACCATCTTTTGTAACACGCAAGTGACCCATTCCTGTCTGGTAAGAAGATAAGATAATAGAGATTTTGTTATTGCTTTATTTTTCCTTTCTTTTAGGAAAGGAGAATTTAGCTAAGAACACAGATACATTTTCAGAAGTTTTCTATTGGCACTTTTCTGTATTTCTCTTAAATATTCAATTTCAAACTTTAGTTTTTATTCAATTGTCAGTATTGCATTAACTCTTGTGTAATACAAAGGGCTATTTAGTGGAGAGACAAGATGGCGGGGAACTAGGAGGAGGCGCTGTTTCAACCTGTACCCTAAAGTGAGCTGATTACCTACCAAAGAACTCTGATCACCCACGAAATCAGCCTGATATTAGAATTATACACATCTGGATCTCTACAGAGATATACTGGCGTCTTCTGCCCACTGGCGGATGCCAGTGGGCAGGTAAAGCAGAGTGGAAACATCAGACTGATATTGGAAGATAAACAAAAGGGGGAGGGAGCCGCCAGAAGCGACCTATTGGAAAGTAATACCCCAATACAAGAGTGCCCTGAGACTGGGGACAAGCATTAACTTGGAGTCTGGTTGAAAGCACTCAAAAAGAGCAAAGGATTGTGGGGGGAAATTGTGGGAATTGGGGCGGTTAGGGACAGGGGCTTAAGTCCCTGGACCCAGGACAGACACCCCTGGTGCTGAGCCAGACAGAGTGTGGCGAAGAAACCAGGTCTTGGTCCCTGAGCTGTGAGCACACCTGAGAGCACCTGGGTGGCAGCTCCCGTGAGGGGCTGGGAGCCTTGCCAGCTGGCAGAACCACAGCCTTTTGCACTCCCCACATGCACCCCGAGCCGTGCTATCAAAATCTGAGTCGCACCCTACACCTCCCCCTGAGAGAGGTGCCTGTAGGCTCCAGCTGGCAGAACCACAGCCTTTTGCACTCTCCATGCGCATAGGCCACACGACCAGAGTCTGAGTTGCGCCCCACACCCTCCCTGAGAGAGGTGCACAGAGGCACCAGCCCGGAGCTCTTGGACCCATAAAGTCTGAGCACTCCCAGCCCGGGCCAGCGGGAAAATGTCAGTGTGCAATCGTTGCTTGGGACCTCTCTGGCGGTTTGGAGCTCCCCTGACAGCTGCCACTGTCATGGCAGGAGTCCCTGCATCCCCAGGGACTGCAACGGGGAACGTGCTCTGCCAGCGGCCAAGGGGGAATTTATGTGCTCTGCAGCAACCAGAGGGGAACAGACTGAGGCTTCTCTCTGAGAGGGAGGTCTAGGTGCAGTTTGCTTTCCTCTAAACCTCCAAAAACCATCAAGAGCCACCAAGGGGAGAGAAAACAAACAAACAAACAAACAAACATAAAAACCTCCAGAGAACAAAAGCCTGAAAAACCGGTTTCCTCAGAACCCACCCCCTTGATGGGGGCGGGAGGACTTAACTCAGGGAACACTGCCTGAAAACCCATGCAGCAAGCCCCTCCCCCAGAAAGCCAACCAGGGGCGGGGGGGAAGACAAGAGAACAACAACCACTACTTCATAGATACAACTTTTATTTTTAATTCGTTCCCACTACTCTGGTTCATTTTTTTTATAGATAATTTTTTAACCTATTTACCATCACAGTGAGATGTCCAGTACATCAAATTCCATAATAACGTTTTAACCTGAACTTTTTGATACATATATCCCTGTTTTTCTTTTCTTTTCTATTTTTAAATTTTTTTAAATTTTATTTTATTTTAGTTTATTCTTTTTTTCTTTTTATTTTTTAATATTCATACACAGTTAAACTTCAAGGTAGTCCCCTTTCCCCAATCAATGCTACCCCTACAGGTAAACCAACTTTTAATCCCCCTTTATCTTAGGAAAGTTGAGTCCTTTAACAAAGATATCAAGATACATCCAGGAAGAATCAAAATAACCTTCCTCACCCAAACTGAGAATTTATAACCACTCTCCCATCTTTTTCTTCCACCAGTGTTTCTGTGTATTTGTGCTTGTCCTGGTAGTATATAAATCTTATACTTGGGGTTCTGTTTGATGAGGTTCTTTTTTTGTTTAGCATATATATATATATATATATATATTTTTTTTTTTTTTTTTTTCTCTTGTCATCTACTTTTATCAGTCTTTTTGTTTGTCTGTTTTTGTTTGTATACTTCAAAAATCTTACCTTGGGGCCCATTTGGGATGGGCCCTCTCTTTTATCTTTCTTTTTTTCCCTGTCTATCTCTCTCTTTTTTCTTTTTTCTCTCTTTCTTTTTTCTTTCATTTGGGTGGGGACTCTTGATTGCTCAGAAGGGTTCCAGGGTGCACCTTGCCTGCACCACAGTTGATACATTCAGCTACATCCATTCAGCCATCTCTCACCACAATAACTAGGAGGAGGAAAACCCAACAGAAGAAAAATTCAGAGGCTGGGTCTTCTGCAACAGAGCTAATGGCTATCGACATAGACAATATGTCGGAAAGGGAATTCAGGCTAACAATTATCCAGGCAATAGCTAAGTTGGAGAAAGCCGTGGATGAAAAATGGAATTGATTAGGGCAGAACTGAAAGCCACCAGGGATGATGTTCACAATGTTCTCAATGAGTTCCAATCTAATCTAAATTCTCTCAAAGCTAGGGTAACAGAGATAGAAGATACAATTAGTGATCTGGAGGACAAACAGATAGAGAGAAAGGATCACGAGGAAGCCTGGAACAAACAGCTTAGAAACCACGAAAACAGAATTAGGGAAATAAATGATGCCATGAAACGTTCCAATGTCAGAATTATTGGAATCCCTGAGGGGGAGGAGAAAGAAAGAAGACTAGAAGATATAGTAGAAGACTAGAAGATACAGACTAGAAGATATAGAAGACTAGAAGATATAGGTTCTCCATGAAAATTTTCCCAATCTCGCGAATGGAACCAGCGTTCATGTACTAGAGGCTGAACGGTCTCCCCTCAAAATTATAGAATCTAGAAAGTCTTCAAGACACCTGATAGTAAGAATGAGGAATCATAATTGTAGACAGGATCTCTTGAAAGCAGGTAGGACAAAGAAGCTCCTTACATACAGAGGAAAGTCCATCAGAATAACATCAGACCTGTCCATGGAAACCCAGCAAGCCAGAAAGGGCTGGCAAGATATATTCAGTGCACTAAATGAGAAGAACATGCAGCTAAGAATACTTTATCCAGCAAGACTGGCATTCAAAATGGATGGAGAGATAAAGAGTTTCCAAGACTGGCAAGGCTTAAAAGAGTATGTGACCACCAAGCCGACACTGCAGGAAATATTAAGGGGGGTTCTATAAAAGAGGAAAAATCCTAAGAATATCATTGAACAGAAATATATGGAGACAATCTAAAGAAAGAAAGACTTCAAAGGTAATATGATGTCAATAAAAACATATCTATCAATAATCACTCTCAATGTGAATGGCCTAAATGCGCCCATAAAACGACACAGGGTTGCAGACTGGATAAAATGACAGGGTCCATCCATATGTTGTCTACAACAGACCCATTTAGAAGCTAAGGATACACCCAGACTGAAAGTTAAGGGATGGAGAAGCATCTTTCATGCCAATGGGCCTCAAAAGAAGACCGGGGTAGCGATTCTCATATCAGATGAATTAGATTTTAAACTAAAGACTGTAGTCAGAGATACAGAAGGACACTGCATCATTCTTAAAGGGACTATCCACCAAGATGATCTAACAATTGTAAATATCTATGCCCCCAATATGGGAGCAGCCAATTACATAAGAAAACTATTAATCAAGATAAAGAGTCATATTGATATGAATACATTAATAGTAGGAGATCTTAACACGCCTTTCTCAGTAATAGACAGATCATCCAAGCAGAAAATCAATAAAGAAACAAGAGCATTGAATGACACATTGGATCAGATGGACCTAATAGATATATACAGAACATTCCATCCTAACACAGCAGAATACTCATTCTTCTCAAGTGCACATGGAACCTTCGCCAGAATAGACCACATACTGGGTCACAAATCAGGGCTCAACCGATACCAAAAAACTGAGATTACCCCCTGCATATTCTCAGGTCACAATGCTTTGAAACTGGAGCTCAATCACAAGGAAAAGTTCGGAAGGAACTCAAACACCTGGAAGCTAAAGACCACCTAGCTTAAGAATGCTTGGATCAACCAGGAGATCAAAGAAGAACTTAAACAATTCATGGAAACCAATGAGAATGAAGACACTTTGGCCCCAAACCTATGGGATACAGAAAAGGTGGTCCTAAGGGGGAAATACATAGCCATCCAAGCCTCCCTCAAAAAAATAGAAAAATCCGGAATACACCATCTGTCTGTATACCTTAAAGAACTGGAGAATCAACAACAAATTAAGCCAACTCCACACACAAGATGGGAAATAATCAAGATTAGAGCAGAGATCAATGAGATAGAAACTAGAGATACAAAGGAACATATCAATGAAATTAGAAGTTGGTTTTTTGAAAGAATCAATAAGATTGATAAACCATTGGCCACACTAATCCAAAGAAAAGAGAGAAAGCTCAAATTAATAAAATTATGAATGAAAAGGGAGAGATCACAACTAACACCAAGGAAGTAGAAACAATCATCAGAAGTTATTATCAACAGTTATATGCCAATAAGTTAAGCAACCTAGATGAAATGGATGCATTCCTGGAAAGCTATAAACTCCCAAAATTGAACCAGGAAGAAATTGACAACCTGAATAGACCGATATCTAGTAACGAGATTGAAGCAGTGATCAAAAACCTCCCAAAAAACAAGAGCCCAGGACCTGACGGATTCCCTGGGGAATTCTATCAAACTTTCAAAGAAGAAATAACACCTATTCTCCTGAAGCTGTTTCAAAAAATTGAAGCAGAAGGAAAACTTCCAGACTCTTTCTATGAAGCCAGCATTACCCTGATCCCCAAACCAGGCAACGACCACACCAAAAAGGAGAATTTCAGACCAATATCACTGATGAATATGGATGCTAAGATTCTCAACAAGATCCTAGCAAACAGGATCCAACAGCACATTAAAA